ATGGAGCCCTTTCCAGAAGTTGAAGCGGCAATGAACTCGATGAAACCCGACTCTGCCCTGGGCCTGGTTGGGCTTCCTGTCCTGGGTGTTTTTTTGAAATTCTGGAAGGTCATCAAAGGGGTGGTGATGGTTATATTCCGGGATTTCTATAAAGGGGTGCTCAACGCATCCCGCCTTAACTATGGAGTAGTTACGTTGATCTCCAAAGTAGTTTGGGCAATGGACATTCGCCAGTTCCGGCTGATCACGGTTTTTAACGTGATCTTCTGCATCGTAGACAAGGCGCACGCCGTTAGGGAGGCAGCTATAGTGGCTAGAATTATCCTTCCAAACGTTTCGGCCTTCATTAAGGGTGATCTAATTCATGATGGGCTACTGGCACTACATGAAATCATTCATGAGGTAAAGACTAAACATCAAAAGGCGGTCTTTATCAATATTCATTTCAATAAGGCTTATGATACGCTTAGTTGGGATTTCCGGAGAGATTCCCTTCAGCGCAAGGGTTAGATGATAGATGGGTTACGTGCATTATGCAACATGTCAGTAGGGGGCACACTGCCATTAACATTAATAGGGAGACGGATTGTTTTTTTAAGCCCTCAAGGGGGGTTGAGGAAAGATGACCCACTCTCTCCGTTCTTGTTTAATATTGTTATCGATGGCCTAGCAGCCATTATGGATAAAGCGAGATGTGTTGGCCATTTGTGTGCGGTGGTGGCCTACTTGATTGCAGTATGTGGAGTCTCGCACCTCCAATATGCGGATGACACCATCCTTATATGGAGCGAACTCCAATGGATATAATAAATTTGAAGTTCCTCCATATTTGCTTCCAAGAGATGTCAGGTTTGACGATTTATGTCGCCAAAAGTGACGTGATGGTATTGTGTTAATCAGAGCAGGAGTTGTTAGAAATATTCCCTAGAGGCAATAATAAAGTGGTTATTATTATATTTCCTTGATTATGATAAAGGTTTATTATTCAAGCTAGAATTGTATTGACCGGAAACTTAAATACATGTGTGGATATATAAACAAATACCGTGTCCCTAGTAAGTCTCTACTAGACTAGCTCGTTGATCAAAAGATGGTTAAGGTTTCCTAACCATAGACATGTGTTGTCGCTTGATAACGGGGTCACATCATTAGGAGAATGATGTGATGGACAAGACCCATCTGTTAGCTTAGCATATGATCGTTCAGTTTATTGCTACTGATTTCTTAATGTCAAATACATATTCCTTCGACCATGAGATCATCAACTCCCGAATACAGGAGGAATACCTTGTGTGTTATCAAACGTCACAGCGTAATTGGGTGATCATAAAAGTGCTCTATAGGTATCTCCGAAGGAGTTTGTTGAGTTGGCATGAATCGAGATTGGGATTTGTCACTCTGTATAACAGAGAGGTATCTCTGGGTCCTCTCGGTAATACAGCATCACAAGAAGCTTGCAAGCAAAGTGACTAAGGAGTTAGCTACGAGATGATGTATTACAGAACGAGTAAAGAGACTTGCCCGTAACGAGATTGAACAAGGTATGAAGATACCACGATCAAATTTTGGGCAAGTAACATACCGATGGACAAAGGGAACTACATATGTTGTCATAAAGGTTCGATCGATAAAGATCTTCGTAGAATATGTAGGAACCAATATGGGCATCCAGGTCCCGCTATTGGTTATTGACCGGAGAGGTGTCAGTCATATCTACATCATTCTCCAACCCGTAGGGTCCACACGCTTAACATTCGTTGACGATATAGTATTATATGAGCTATGTATGTTGGTGGCCGAATGTTGTTCGGAGTCCTGGATGAGATCACGAACATGACGAGGAGCTCCGGAATAGTCCAGGTAAAAAATGATATATGGGATAATAGTGTTTGGTCTTCGGAAGCGTTTTCGGATGTTTCCAGAAATGTTCGGGTATGAGAACACTTTATTTGGGCCAAGGGATTAAGCCCACAAGGTTTTAGGAAGGTGCAAAAGGAGTTTTGCGAAGGCCAGGGGCCAGAACCCTAGCATCTGGGGCTAGACGCCAAGGACCCTGGCGTCTGGCCCTGGAGTCCGAGAAGGACTCTTGCCTTGCGGGCTAAACCGACTTTGAGGAGGCTCTTTCTCCAAGAAACGACCCCAGGGCCCAACATATAAATAGAAGGGTAGGGCTAGCACCCTAGAGACATCAAGATTCACCAAGCCATGTGCCGGCAACCTGCCCCCTCTAGTTTATCCTCCGTCATAGTTTCCGTTGTGCTTGGCGAAGCCCTGCGGAGATTTTTCTTCACCACCACCGTCACCACGCCGTCGTGCTATCGAAACTCATCTATTATTTCGCCCCTCTTGCTGGATCAAGAAGGCGCGGATGTTCATGCGGCTTGAACTGCGTTGGTATTTCCCCAAAGAGGAAGGGATGATGCAGCACAACAACGGTAGGTATTTCCCTCTGTGATGAGACCAAGGTTATCGAACCAATAGGAGAACCAAGCAACACTATGTAAACGGTACCTGCACACAAAGAACAAATACTTGCAACCCAACGTGTTAAAGGGGTTGTCAATCCCTTGTGGGTAACGGTGCCAGAAATTGGTGCATTGACGGGATAAAAATTATGATAGATTGGATAGATAGATATCATATAAATGCAAAATAAAATAACGTGCAACAAGGTATTTTTGGGTTTTTGGATTAATAGATCTGAAAACAAAAGCGAATAAAAATATATCTCAAAGACAAATATGATGGAGAATAGACCCGGGGGCCGTAGATTTCACTAGTAGCTTCTCTCAAGAAAAATAGCTTACGGTGGGTAAACAAATTACTGTTGGGCAATTTATATAACTTAAAATAACTATGACAATATCTAGGCAGTGATCATTATATAAGCATCATGTCCAAGATTAGTACATCGACTCCTGCCTTCATCTACTACTATTACTACACACATCGACAGCTATCCAGCATGCATCTAGTGTATTAAGTTCATGGAGAAATGGAGTAATGCAATAAGAACGATAACATGATGTAGACAAGATCTATTCATGTATGAATAGACCCCATCTTGTTATCCTTAATAGCAACGATACATATGTGTCATGTCCCTTTCTGTCACTGGGATTGAGCACCGTAAGATCGAACCCATCATAAAGCACCTCTTCCCATGGCAAGAAAAATCGATCTAGTTGGACTAACTAAACCAAAGATTCGAAGAAGAAATACGAGGCTATAAGTAATTATGCATATAGAGATCAAAAGA